TATTCTAACATAAAACAAAATAAACTTTAAGACTTATACTTAATTTTTAGTTATTTAATTCCACTTAGCCATGAGCCTGGTTTCGGTAATTTTTCAGAAAAATTATTCTTCCTGAAGAAAAATGCCAAGCCCTTAAAATATTCCAAAAGATTATATAAAAGAATTAAATTTGGGTTAAAACTCCAGATTTATACTCTTATCCCTGAAGTCCTTTCTAGGCTGGTGCCTGTGGAACTTGGCAGCACTTGCCACCAAATACTCACTTAGAATCATCCATAGGTTCTTGGAAGCTGTGACCTGAAGCAAAACGATATATAATGAAACCAATTTTACCACAGGCTGATTGATAGAATAACAGTTAAGTTCCAATGGTATATTTCTAGCCACAAAAACATCACCCAACTGTGTGTGTGTGTGTGTGTGTGTGTGTGTGTGTGTGTGTGACGGATTTCACTCTGGTTCGTGTGTGTGGGTCGTATTTGAAAAAGCTATTTGGGGTTATTTAAAAAAAAAAAAAATTACAATTTGAGTTGTAACTTCCTCCAAAAAAAGATTTTGTGTTGCTTCTCGCTAGCATTCTGGGGAACTCCAGTACAGACTCACCATAATTAAGGTTCAAACAATCCAGGTCCTGTCAGGTTGGAACCTAGATTTTATGAGGGTGTATCACTTCCGCTTTACCCTCACGTGTCACTATTCTGGGTCTCGGAAACTATATGGGCATTTCTCAGATCCTTATCCTGACTAAATGGGATGGACCCAAGCACGACATGAGGCGTCCAAACTACAACTAGCTTTGGGATGATTTCTTCTCCATCAGGAAACACACACTCAGAACAACGGGGGCTTTAGTGCTGGGCATACCTAGCTGGGTCCTAGCACCACTCTGGCCCAGGAAGTCCTTATTTTATAGATAGCAGGTTCAATGCTTTTAAGACATTTATTTTTTTCTTTCTTTCTTCTTTTTTTTTTTTTTTTTTGAGACGGAGTCTCGCTCTGTCGCCCAGGCTGGAGTGCAGTGGCGCCATCTCGGCTCACTGCAAGCTCCGCCTCCCAGGTTTACGCCATTCTCCTGCCTCAGCCTCCCGAGTAGCTGGGACTACAGGCGCCCGCCACCTCGCCCGGCTAATTTTTTGTATTTTTAGTAGAGACGGGGTTTCACCGTGTTAGCCAGGATGGTCTCCATCTCCTGACCTCGTGATCCACCCGCCTTGGCCTCCCAAAGTGATGGGATTACAGGCGTGAGCCACCACACCTGGCCTCTTTCTTTTTGCTTTGTTTGTTGGCAAAAAACGAACAAACAAACAAAAACACTCTTATCCAGTGGGAAACGTGGTTGAAATTATCTAGCCTGCCACGACTGAAAATGCATGTTCCGGCCAGGCACGGTTGCTCACGCCTGTAATCCCAGCACTTTGGAAGGCCGCGGCAGGCGGATCACGAGGTCAGGAGATCGAGACCATCCTGTGAACAGTTAAACCCCATCTCTACTAAAAATACCAAAAAATTAGCCAGACGTGGTGGCGGGCGCCTGTAGTCCCAGCTACTTGGGAGGCTGAGGCAGGAGAATGGCGTGAACCTGGGAGGAGGAGCTTGCAGTGAGCTGAGATCGCACCACTACACTCCAGCCTGGGTGACAGAGCAAGACTGTCTCCAAAAAACAAAAAAAGAAAAAAAAAGAAAGAAAATGCATGTTCCTCCTACTCTCACCTTTTTCTTTCACTCCAAATTCAGTGGCGCCGGCCGGGCGCGGTGGCTCAAGCCTGTAATCCCAGCACTTTGGGAGGCCGAGACGGGCGGATCACAAGGTCAGGAGATCGAGACCATCCTGGCTAACACAGTGAAACCCCGTCTCTACTAAAAAATACAAAAAACTAGCCGGGCGTGGTGGCGGGCGCCTGTAGTCCCAGCTACTCCGGAGGCTGAGGCAGGAGAATGGCGTGAACCCGGGAGGCGGAGCTTGCAGTGAGCTGAGATCCGGCCACTGCACTCCAGCCTGGGTGACAGAGCGAGACTCCGTCTCAAAAAAAAAAAAAAAAAAAAACAAATTCAGTGGCGCCAGTCACCCTCTCTGACTCTGTGGGAACTCCTACAGTGTCTGTCCCGAAGGATACAGGGATTCCTGGGGAGTTTCGCATCCACGAGCTTGCCTCTCGCTTTACTGCCCGCCCAGCACACACCCTCGAAGGCTGCTGCCCATCCTCCTTTCCACGCGGCTTCCATGACAGACACAGCCCTCTCTCTTCATTCTCAGCACCTTCGTGTCTCCGTGGCAGACTTTTTCTAAAGGCTTAGGGATGACAGAGAAGGGTCACAGTACTCCTCAAGATAGGAAGAAACTACTCAGAAGTGCTTCTAAGAGATTCTTTCACAACTCCTTACCACAAGAAAACAAGAGTGATGTGGCCCTCTTCCCATCTGCCCTCTCACCCCTCACCAGGCTTCCCTCCATCCCCAAGACCTCCCCCTCCTCCAGCTCTCTGCTGGCTCCTGATGAGCCCTTATCCTCACGCCACCACTACTGAAATTCCACTTGACTTTGCAGAGCAATTCAGCTCTTTTCTGAAGTATTCCCATCTGGGCAATGTCCGCAAAACCTCTCCATTCTCAACGAGTCCATGAAGATGTTTTCCTTCACCGAATTATCAAAATTTTCTGAAATAAATGCTGTCCTCCTAAAACGCAGAAATGAGGAGAGGCGTTTTGTTTTTGTTTATTTGTTTGTTTGTTTTTGAGATGGAGTCTCGCTCTGTGGCCCAGGCTGGAGTGCAGTGGTGCAATCTCAGCTCACTGCAAGCTCCGCCTCCCGGGTTCACGCCATTCTCCTGCCTCAGCCTCCGGAGTAGCTGGGACTACAGGCGCCCGCCACCTTGCCCAGCTAGTTTTTTGTATTTTTAGTAGAGACGGGGTTTCACTGTGTTAACCAGGATGGTCTCGATCTCCTGACCTCGTGATCCGCCCACCTCAGCCTCCCAAAGTGCTGAGATAACAGGCTTGAGCCACCATGCCTGGCCTGACAGGCTTGTCTTTTTTAAGCAATTTTTTCTTCCTAGAATATTCTCTGCCCTTAATAAAATCTTTACAATCCCTGCAAAACTTCCAGCCCACAAATCCTTCCTCTAGGAGGCAAGTGATGAAACTGGGGAGGGGAGCTTCACATGGTCAAGGCCTGCAGATGCTTCTCCCAAGCTTGCTCAGGGATGATGGCTCCCACCAGTCTGAGAGCTCCAACGCGAGAAATTCTATTTACTGCTTTAGCAGCCTGGGTATTCTTATTTTGAGGCCATGATAGAAATTCCTTAAGGTTTCATTAGAAGAACAGGAACAAGTTACACGGTTTAACCTCTTTACAGCAACACACATCTTTGTCTGTTGTGAAGCACCGAACCTTTAAACAAAAAATTGCCATATGAAAATGGCCTACTCAGAGGCTGTGCTGAAAATAAAAATATGATTTACTAAAAAGTACAGATTTGATTGGGGTTCCTTTGGTTATTGTTGCTGCTCTTTTAAACAATCATCCAGCAAATCCGCAATGTGCTTCTTTCTAAACCATAGCACCAGAGAAAATCAATTCAAGTATTTCCCAAACTGCAGCACTGGAACAAACGAGCACTAACCACAAGCTTCTAACCTCCAAGAAAACATGAAATATGCCTTCCAAGGGACACAAGCAGAAAAGGAAGAACCTGCTAAGAACGTGTAATTCACATCTACTGCAAATCATATTTCAAAGAGCTCAATGGGGCTGGGGAACGCTTGTGAAAGTGCTGGCAGGGAAAAGAATCCAACCGTACCCAAACAAGACCTCAGGGTGAAGCGTGCGATGAGCACCCAGGAACGCACTGACGGAGGCAAAAACAGTATTTTTAACAGATGATAGACTGAAAAGCAGCTAAATGTAATACTGAAAGTATTATCAGAAGAGCTGCATACAACTTCCTGATATGGAAATTAGGTAGCAACCGTTAAGACACAGAGTTAAAAATCAGATTCAATCAAGGAACAAAATGGAGTTTGTGATTTGTAGGAGTCCACTTTAGAATATCACTCAGCAGTTTCCCAAACCAAGCGCCTTCCCCGTGAAGACTGCTGTTACGGCCTTCCGTGCTAAAGGCGCAGGGAGGGGAAACGGCGCGGTGACCTGCGACGCTGAGCGGGCAGGACCCTGCAAGGCACGTGGCCAGGGCTAAGTTTCCAACAAAGTGCAATTTCTCTCCACGTTGTGTGAAATAATTTGCCAAGCGCGCGTAGAACTCTTTGTGAAAGAGCATGTCTCTCTTCCATAGCTCGTCGCTGACCAGCTGGTATCACAAATACAGGCCTGGTTCTGCTTGGCATCACTTGCTTAATGCTCTGTTCATTAATTTAACAAACTATCGGGAGAATATGCCTGGAACGGGCAAGCATTATCTCTCAACTTCCATTTAATTAAACTCTGCTATTGTAATATGACAGTCAGCACATCGCAGGGGGAATTATTTTAAAGATGAAGGTAAAAAGTATTTCAAAGCCCCCACTTAAACATGAAAGCATCATCTGAAACTGCCTGAGCACACACTGTCATTTTTCTGTAATATTAAAGATGTTATTTCCAGACTCAGTAATTAGTTAGATTCCATGGAGGATTATTCTAGCATTCTTGATAGAAAAATGATGTACAGAGCCAGGGAACAGAGTACCAAAGGACCACCATAAACAACCAGCTGTCACCTAGATGGTGACAATCACCAAGCTTAATAAGGAGTGAGCGCTGCCTGCTTCGGGTGCACACTTACTACTCTCCTGCAAAGCGAATGTACCGAATTCTGATGATATCGCCTTAAGAAGAAGAAATAAGAGCAGCTCACGCGCCAGCAGCTGTCTCAGAAGGATGCCCATGAGGGATCCTGGGCAGGCCAGGATGCCACCGGCGGATGAGGACAGCACCCTGTCCCACCGAGGGCTGGGGGCCACCTCCCCCTTCCCACAGAGAGGGGCCGCACAGGAAGCTGGCTTACCGTCAATCCGGCTCACGAGTTCTTCTAACATTTTCACTTTCATTTGAATTCCAGGTTGGGCAAAGGTGTAGTTGTCCTAAGGAAAAAATAATAATGTGAATCATAGGCATATAAAATAAAACACACTTTCCAAAAGGGAAAAAGGCAGCTGGGATAAAGGGAACAGCTTGATAACAGGACAAATTCACAAGCAGATTTTATCTTGAGAAACAAATAAGCGGACGCACACTGCACAGCACAGCCCCGCGCGGTGCCACCGAGTGCTATTTTGAGAAGGGAAAGTCCAGTATTTCCCGACGTCAGGTGATGAGCACGCACATCTCAGGGAACACTGAATGGTACATTTCTATTTGTAAACGTGAGACACTTATATCTAAATTGAAAATCAGGCATCCAAGTGCATAACTCATTGACCAGAACAGTCTTTGGGAACTGACCACCTCGCTGGCCACCTGGACCCCGAGCACTCAGCCCTGCTGGAAGCCAATGGCAAATGTGCCCGGCACTGACAGCACCATCATCGTGGCCACAATCCAAGTGCTGATGACATGATGCTGAAAACAGTGGACATGTGGCTTTACTCTCGGAGACAGTTGGGTGAACTCAGGTTAAGTTCAGATACTAACAGAAGAAGGTTTGCATAGCATCAAAGGGAAGGGGGCCTGGGCAGTTTCAAGTCAAACAGCCCAGGAATGGGGCCCCAGCTCTAGGACTCAGGAGCTGTGTGACCCTGGCAAGTAACACAACCCCTCCGGGCTTCCGTTTCATTATCAATAACAGGAGAGTAATAACACGGCCTTCTAGGACTGTCTGAGGTCTCAAGGAAATAAGTAAGTAGAATGTGGAAGAGATTTCAAGACACAGCAGGTACCGGGCAGTGACAGGACTATTACTCCTGTGTCACCACCTAAGAGAGCACATACACAACACTGGGGGGTGCGGCCAGAGAAGACTGGTCACACTGCCTCATCCCACAGCAGGAACACAAAGAGGCAGCTCCCATCAACAAGAGAAGGGCATTCCCTATGCAGGCTGCCCTTTGGGCCTCAGCCAGTGCTCGGGGGCATTTTCAGAAGGAGAGTTTCAACCAGACTCGTGGTTAACAGACTTAATCTGTACCCAACAGCAGTGAATGTGGAAGGCAGAATAATAACCAGCCCCAAAGATGTCCAGGTTCCAATCGCTGGAACCTGTGGATGTGCTGCCTTACACGGCATGGGGAACCAGGGTTGCAGGTGGAACTAAGGTTGCTAATCCAAGAACCCGTGGAGAAAGGAGAATCAGAAGGCAGTGAAACGATGGGTGCTGTGCCTGGGGCTCCTGTGGGTTCCAGCCTAGGCTTCTAACTCTTTAGTGAGCACACAGGGCCTCTGGCCCGACCAGTACTGGGAGATGACTGCCTGTGGCAGCTCTGCCCTCAGGGAGTGACACTGGGGATGGCCCCAGGAGCCTCAGCTAGGGGAAGCCGGGCAGGTCACTGGCCTCAGTAAGGGCACAGGTAATGCAGTCTCGGTCCAAACAGGAGGTGTTGGGCACAGGCAACTGCGGCTCACCAAGCGGGTTCAGGCCACCATGCAGGTACTGGCTTGCAGCAGGCAGCGTCAGGGCAGCCTTTCCGACAGTGGGGGATGATCTGCTGCCTGTGCGCCCAAGAGGGCAGGGGTCTGCAGGCACCACCTGGCAGGACGGAGGTGCTAGCTTTGCGTGACAGGGGGGCAGGTCTACACGGGCAGCTGTCCACATGGCACCTGACATTCAGAGCCCAGAAGGAAAGTGGAGGGACTGATCTGGACTTGATACTGATACTCCTCTTCCGTAGGCTCAGGACTGGAAAACGGTTCGAGAACAACGTTCCTGGAGGTGGTCAACCAGGCAGGCCACCCTGTGCTGTGAGGGGACACAGCCCTGGAGTGCACAGAATCCGCACGTGGAAGAAGGGTGACGGGGCACACAGCAAGGGTGTCAGCCCTCGGGAGGCCCCAGTGACGTGGAAACAGCACTCACAGAACCCCCAGCTCCAGAACGCAGGAGGGGACCCCAGGTAAGACAAGCGTGGAGCTGAGCGACTGCTTTCGGGCCAGCAGCATTCCCAAGTCTGGAAAGTCGAATGTGAACACAGGCAGCCAGCACTCGCTACGTTTCTCTCTCTCTCTCTCACACACACACACACACAAGCGCACACACACACAAGCGCGCGCACACACACCCGCGCACACACCGAGAGCACACATGACATCTCCTAACAAGAACAGGCACGGCAGCCGCTGTGGCACAGAACACAGAAAATGCCTACAAGGCACTGAGGATTTTTCTGTCCCCAGAAATGGAAAATGAGCCGAGTCAGACCTGCCCGCTTGCTGAGGAATTTCTCCCTGGTGGATTTCAAGTGACAGGCTCTGGATTCCAAACTGTCACATCCTTGTGAGGCCAGAACCGCAAAAACTCCGTTTGCCGCCTTCACTTAGAATGACGCCAAGGCCCTCCGGGGACCCTGGGCGGCAGGAAGGACGGGCTCCGGAGAGCGGATCTCTGGAGTGACTTCTCTGGGGCCTGGGGATGATTCGTTTCCTAGATGTCGTGGGCCGATTCAGGGATAAGCTTGGAGGCCTCCTGAATTTGGCTGTCCAAAATACGGCATTTAATGGGCAGGACTTTTAGGCCCTGAAGGAGCGGCGATGGTGTCAGTGAGACCCAGGCACCTGTCCAGCTGAGACGGACCCGCAGCAGCAAGTGAAGGACAAATTGTGAGCTTTCATATATTTGAAATTTAACAGGAGTAAGAAATTTTGGCTCCAGACTTGAATTTCTTTGACTGTCATCATCCTTGGACCTGAACTTGCAGTGGTTACCCTTTAAGACTGAATTTCTCCCCAGAGACTGGATAACAGAAGCAGATTTATGTTAACATTTAGGACATACTGTGTGTTGCAAGTTTGCATCATGTCGTGGAGGAATCCCGACGAGCCCGGCCGAACAATACAGCCGCACAGAATTAAGGGTGAGAAGTAAACCACAGAGTGTGTGCCGCCTCCAGTACAGAAAGGCCTTAGGATTACTTAATTAATGTCCTATTCCGACAAATTCCGGAGCCATGGGAAGCACATTCTAACCACCCCACTGGTCTGTCCTGAGGGACTGTGATCTCTCCCACTCCAAGGGAGGCCACGCTCCTGGCCGTCCAGGGCCCTGATGGTTATGTGAATAACAGACAGACCTGGAGTCAGTCAGCGTCCAGGCGGAGGGAGCGCAGCTGCTGCCTCTCCTGTACTGGCTCTATTCCCAGAAATCCTCGCTCCACGGAGGCTAAAACGGGGAGAGGCGAAGGTGAGTTCAGTCCCTCGCACTTCTCAGAGGTTCCACAGCAGGCGGGCAGGGCCCGGCCCGCAGCACCGGCTCTGATGGGGTGGGCGAGCCTGATGGGTCCTGGGGTCGGTCAGCCAACTCAGTGGCTCTCCCACTGAGACAGGATCTCTGGCTCTCGCTGAGCAGAAATAAATGTTGTTCTTTGGCCTCCATCTGCCACAACTTTGCTTCATTTCTCAATTTGTTCAAAACCCAGGTAGGGAAGACAGGTTCTCAGAAATCCAAACAATAAAAAAGAATGGCACTGAGAGCCCATAAAGTAAAGGTCTGCATTTTGAAAGAGAAAGGGTTTGCATTTTGGAAGACCTGCAAAGACTGACAGCTATGGCCTTGGCATTCTGGCTTCAGACTAAGGGCAGAGAAGACCAGCCTTCAGAAGACTGCAGCACGGACGCCCGGCCCCACCTCCGGAGGGCGAGACACCAAGGCACAGGGGGGCGGGGGGAGGCGGTCTGGGCCCTCCTGGCTCCGGAGATGAGCCCAGGCTGCAGAAAGCCCCACTCAGTGGCCAGGAAGTCTCCGAGGGCACTCTAAGGAGGCAGACACCGTGGCCAAGGAACCCAGAGCCAGGCGGCTGAGGAAAAGAATGACTAAGACCACCCCATGGCCCTCGCAGCAGCCTGTCCCGGCTAGGCACTGACTGCCCAGACCCTCCCAGCAGCCTGCTGCCCGCAGGCTCCACCAAGGCCCCTAGGCAGATCACGGGCTCTGTCTGCTTAAGGCCCAGAAATCAGATTTGCCCTCAGGATACCCCAGCCCAGCACCCCGCCTCCCACACCTGGCACCCAGATCACCTGTGCTAGTGAACATGTACCTGGGCAGCAAAACAGGATCTTGTAAGCAAAAATACTCTACGCTTATAGAAATGTCATTAGTAATAATATTAACATTATTCCCTTCATAAAAAGTAAACATGCATATCCTTTCCAATTGAGATCTTGTGTCTTTGAAAAGGGATATAATTTACAAAACGTATGAGTCAGAAGGAAGAAAGGAAGGGCTGAAGACAATGGCCTTTTGTGAAATGTTTCACAGAAGGTCAAGTCTGTGAATATACATTTTTTAAAATACTCTCAGCTTGCCTTACACCTGTTGCCATTACAACATCACACTCCTCCCAATAACAAATAACACTTTCTGCGCTTTTCGGAAGAAAAGTAGAATAAAATTTTCTCAGGGAGCATTTTAGAGAAGAGTTGAAATACAAATTCCTATCAGCTCAGCTGGAAGTACCAGGAGGCAAACCTGCCAACTCACGGAGAAGTTAGACGCCTCCTGCCTCTCTGACAAGGGGCTCTTCCACCTGGACCAGGATCCAACTCCCCACAAAGTCCAGCCTCCTCTTTCCAGGCTAATCTCACTGTAACATAGTGTCTTCCCCACGCCGAAACCAAATGTGCCTTCCGCACACAGGCCTTCACCTGCCTCCGAAACAGCTCAGGAAGTCTCTTCTGCAAGCAACGGCCTGAGAGACTTCAGATTCCTTCAACTCTTAAAAGACTCCCTTCCGCGTCCTCTCAGGGGCCCCTGGCCACCAGCCCTGAACACAGAAGCTGGGCTCTGATCATGCAAGGACAGAGCTAGGGCGCCTCCTGTCACAGCTGCACTCCACTGTCAGCCATTAATACATTAAAGCAGTTAATGAACCAGTCCAGCAGAAGGCAGAACCACATCAGATACTAGTTCTTTCATCTGTTCAACAAACACTGAAAG